TGTGTGAAATTTAACTACAACAAATCTTTCAAACCAAAGCAACATTTTCTATGTATGATTAATATGTCGCATTACTGCTTGCTTATAAATTAAAGGAACAGTATATGATGTACTGGAGAAGAGTTGTATATTTTCCCCACTGAACTTCAGCAACTGTAAATCATTTCCATCACCCTTCATTTCTAATTTGATTCATAAAAGTTTCTTTGTGGTTTAAAAAAAGATTAAAGGTTGTAAACTTACATGTTTATTRAGGGAAAAAAATAGGCTGATCTGAAACTTCAGGAATTCAAATATATGTTGAATAAGAAAGGCTAATAAATAAGATTTCTAGTTTAATCCTGGGAAGTACAAGTGAAACTTAAGGCTTTCTACTACAGATGCCATGTGTATTTTTCCAGATGGTACTGGAAAGGTAAGGCCAAGGTGAGAAAGTGTTATATTTTTCAACAAATTTTGGAGAAATGTTTTTTTTTTTCTGGGATTGCAAACAAGCCAAGTGATGCAGCTTCTCATGACATGCCAAACTTGCTTCCTGCCCGTCTAAAATATATAGCCCACAAGAACATCTAGTCAAATGCAAGCTTYGGACATTATCATCACCTCAGTGAGTCCCCATCTCAAGTGAAGACTTCGATCTTACTTTTGTGGCCTGAATCTTACGCCACCAGAGTTAAAGCTCTCAGGTTTTAATAAAGTCTTTCAGGTGAAGTGTTAGTGTAGCAGGCTAACTAACATAATACCAAGCTAAAACTTAGCGAACATTTCAAATTGCTTCTGCAATTACTTGCATAGCAAGCCAGGCTACCGTTGCTTTCTGTAATGTCTCTTTCAACAAGGTACTTTGCCTGTCAAGAGCAATTTTGCAGAGGTCTTATATTAATGAAAACAATTGCCCTGATCCTACACCCATGAATATGTCATTCCACAAAAATGAGCAGCACCCCTGCCTCACCTCTCCGCTGGCTGATTTCTGTAGGAACCTGTGCTTGAAGCAAAGYATGTGCTATAAAGTTTTGGAAGCATCAGAGTGCATCCCATATACAACTGCTTTCCTGTTARCCATGGTAGATCAAACCTTCAAAATAAACTGGAAGGTTGAAGTAGCAAATTGCATACCACATTTTTCAAAACTTCCAGTTAGTTGGCTAAATGTTTCTTTTACCAAAGCAGGAGGATCCAATAAAGCTGATCTGCACTCTGCTCAGTGCTTTTTTTGATCATTTTAACTTGTACCTCTTCCCTTTAGCAGAGGAATATCAATTGCAAATACCTGCCAGCTATCCACCTGTCAATGCCGACTTCGTCTTTGGGAAAGTTCTGTATGCAGATTCCAGGCTTGTCCTTCAGGAAACATGCTGGTGCTGTATGTGTGTGCAGTATGACTCTCTATGTAATTGGGTGTCTAAGATTCAGAAAACAAAAAAGAAAACTAAAGCCCATAAACATACACTGTCATGCTTTTGTTTCTTTGGTTTTGTGTCTTTCAAGTAGAAAACTAAGGAACTGGAAATTTAAGTTTCTATTTAGCTTCTATTTCCATGAGATTTTCTTATTTTCTAGTAAGTAACTTCCATTTCCATTACACTTTATTTTTCCTAGCATGATCTGCTGAGCCAGGATGATTCTCTCTAGCCTCCCTCACTGATCCTGGGTTCAGGTGTTGAACACCTCCTCTGGCCAGGGACACAGTCCCACGCAGACAGTGGTGGTCAGGCCATGCAGGACACTTTCAGGAGAGGCCTCATGCCAAGAAGCCTCAGGCCACATAGCCCACACCACCTACATGCAGGAACACGCTCCAGACCAGGCTTGGGTGGCCAGACCACGAAGGGAAGCCTCAGGCCTGTCCTGCTCCTTACAGTGCTGGAGGTTGTGTCCATATAAAACATGCATCGAGTTTGAGATCTTATTTCATACTTGATGCATATTTCTGCATCTCAGCCAGGATCACTAGCTCTGTGTGTCTGTACGCTTGCAGCGAGCACAGGGAAGCCAAAGCCAGCAGGACCCAACAGGCTGCTACATATTTATATCAGGCACCCAAAGAATGTTGTTTTGTTTGGCATTTCCTGTCTGACTGGTTCTCTTCCTAACAACCAAACTGTTTGTCTTAAGCCGAGATGTTTACTTTTGCTGTGATTGTAATAAAAGGCTTTGTCTTCGTCGAAGCAATTTGCCAAAAACAACGCAGGGCAGGCAAGAAACTCATAACAATGTCCAACTCAGCTTGTAACACTTCTGCTGGGMCACACTGGTAAGCTAATGAGCAAACTCCTAATGACGCAGAAGGTAGTTAAGCAGGGACAACAGACTAAATGATACTAAAATGACACCTTTTGCAGACCACAATTTAGCACAAGCTGGGTACACCTATCACTTCCAACTAATATGTCTTTGTCACTGCTATGCAAAGCCAATTTTTTTTTAAACAGTTTGTTTTGTCTCACTTACAGATCCACCCTGCCAATAAACTGATATTCTAGTCTACATTCCTAGCAAATTTAAACCTCCCTTTGAATCAGTGGACAGTGCCAGCACAGAATCAATTCCCAAACTGAGGTCTGGGCACACTGATGAAGTCTCACAATAGAGCTCATTTGCTGCAGGGTTTATTCATTTATGTAGGAAGATCAGTTCTTTTGTATTGAGGTYTGCTATAGTCCAGAATTGTTCAAGGATTAGGGTACAAAACTGAACAGCTGCCAGTGAGAAGAAATGGGCCATAATATTCAGGCTTCTTATAAAGGATTAGACACATTCTAATATGCTACAGGGGAATTAAAAAAAAATAGAAAGAAAAAGAGAAAAACCACATTTCTTTGAAAGAAGCATGTCTCAGACACTATAGTGTAACATCTTTGTTCATTATGTTACACTTTCTAAAGCGGACACTGTGAAAGCTTGGAATACAGCCCCAGACCAAGACATCAATAACAAACAAACAATTTTAAATGCCGCTATGCCCTGCTTTAGAGTTTGTAGTTCTACTCACACTTTTTCTTTGCCCACATTTTTACTATTTTTAGATTTTAAGAATGTAATGCTATTCAATTCCACAATCCCATCCCACTACCATTAGATGTCATTAGATCAGAATTCCTCCAAAAAATACAGAACATTCAAAGTTGGAAAGGATCAGTGACAACAGCMTGTCTCCACCTTCTTTAATCCCTCCTACCAGGTGCTCATACACACTGGTACATTTGTCCTGAGCCTTCCCTTCTCCAGGCTGCACAACACTAGCCCTCTCAGTCTCTTCTTGAATGAGAAACACTGCCTACAAGCCCTCTGTCATCTTTGGAGCCCTAGATAGACTCCCTGCAGTAGGTCCGTGCATGTCTCATATTGGGTAGCCCRGCACTGAACCCAGCTCTCCTGAAGCGGCCTCCAGAGGGTGGAGGAGAAGGACTACTCCCTTGACCCAGAGGCTGTTGGCCACCTTTGCCATGTGGGCATATTGCTGGATCATGCTCCACCAGTTGTTCATGAGGTCCTACCCTGCAAAGCTGCTTTCCAGGCCATCAGCCCTATACTTTTGCACAAGGACTTGGCACTTCCCTTTGCTGAACTCCAGGACATTCTTCTCTACCCACTGCTCCAGACAGTCAAAGCGCCTCAAAGCAGCAGTGCACTCATATCAGCCACTCCTCCTAGGTTTGAATCACCTGCAAACTTGCTGAGGGTGAACTGCACCCCATCAAACAGGCCATTAAAGACAATGTTAAATAGTGCTTTTTATATGGGACGTGCCACTACTATGGCCTGCAGAGACTTTTGGCCTCTGATCACAGCCCTTTGTGGGAAAGCCTTGATGAAGTCAAGACAAACAATATCCATTGATCTCCCCTAGAAACCTAGTGATCCCCCTTTAAAACCACCTTGATTTTATGTCCAGCTTGTCAGCCTGCACGAGATTTCTACTCCACTTTTTTCCCCCACAAACTCAAACATAAAACATTTAATYCACCTACCATAAAAATCTATTTAAATTGTGTTTGAACTTTCAAGGAAGAAATATAACTGAACAAGTATTCTTTCAAGACTAAATTCAAAAACAAGTAAATAATACAYGCACTGGCATGCACAGCAGTTATGGTATGGATTTGAAACCCAAAGTCAGTCATGGAGTGAATGTACCTCTCCCCTTTCTCCCRTGTTCTAAACTTACAATATCTGATATCTCACAGCACTGTGCAAGTTCCAGTGCAGCCAATTCAAGTCTTCTAATCTATTCTGTTGAGCCCAGTACCAAGTCCCAAAGCTTCACTATAAAGCAGCTATCAGCAAACTTTGAGTTCTTTCCACACATACCTCTAAAAGAGAAGGGAGAAATAACCTGGCCAGGAAGCCCAGCTTCTGCGAGCACAAGACATTAAAATGATGTCTCTCTCCTGTGAGACCATACATCAGTTCTAGGGAGCATAAATCAGCCACAAAACAAGACATTTTGATCTTACACAACAAACCAAAACATTCAAGCATTTCTCAAAAGTGTCATACCAAAATCCTCTGTTCACAGCCAATATTCTGTAGAGCAAGATGTTTTTTCCTCTTAAGGTTCTGATAAGCACCTCAGTGATCAGAAGCTCTCTGTAAATGCATACTACTGATCAAAATCACAGTCTGACTTGAATTTGTAAATATCCCCAAAGCCACTGAGTTAGTAATARCTCAAGGGATTTAGTGATACATGACAGCCTACACAAAGCCAAAACCATAGCTTCAGTTCAATTCAAATATAGACTAAACAGTTCCAATTTTCTTAGGTTCTGAAAGTTTTGGCCTCTCAGCTTCCAAATCCATTTCCACACTTACCTCTAGGGACTTAACTGGAAGAAGGGAGGCTAATGATCATTCTGACATTCTATTGGGTCCTTAGAGGGATTCCAGGGTAGAGCAGCCTTCTCCTCTGGTGGTTCTGTCACTACTCATTAAAATGATCAGTCATAATTTCAGAGTATTTTCACAGTTTCCACAATGTCTTGTTTAACAGCCTGCCAGAAGCCCTATGGTCACAATCATATTTCACCATTGCAACACAGTCAGTAGCTCCTAGGAAGAAGAAACAGTGTGAAGACCCTTATTGTCCAAGGACACACTGATAGCAAACCAAGGATAAGTACTGCAGGCTGAGCATATCCTTGTACATTTTTGAGAGGAAATAGCTGGTGTGTTCATTCATTTTCAGAAGTCTTACAAACATGCAGAAGACATTAAATTCCAATTCTACTTCCTCCAAGAACTGTAAATCATCCTGAGATGTATTATAGTGGCATACATACTAGCAGAAATACAGGTAGTATCAGTTCTAGTAATGACAGAGAACAGCATAAGTAGGGCTGCTCCAGGAGGAAAGAGGATCCAGAAGCCAAGAGAGACCRTTGCAACAGCATGGCCATGTCCTCCTGGATCTACGGACACCTCCAGCTCACAGTATCACAGCATCCTGGTGGTGCAAGCAGAGCAGGGGGGTGACAGGTCCCACCAAGAATCTTGCAATCATCAGGCAAATACAAGGTCAYGTCCAAGGTCAAACCAAGCCATTTTTCGTATTCTAAGAAAGGCAAACAGATCCAAAAGTAATGACTGCCAGAAGAGTAAACCACCAGAAGAGTAAACTTCCACCTAAATTGTGTTCAGGTACATCCTGCTTCACAGGCTGTGATATACCGATAAAGACAGGTGCCAGGAAGCTGCACAGGGATGAAAATCATTTTGGAGTTTATACTTTCTGGTTAAGGAGTACATRGGATTTCTCTTCCAAAGAAGAGTCAGAGCTGGAAATAAGGACATAAGGCCATCTGAATATATTTACTTAGGTAACAATGGAAATTCTAAAGCTGATCCACTATTAACATTATATTTGTTGCCTTTACTTTGCAATTAAAGGTTAATTACCAAGAACTCTATACCATTGGGTAGCTCATAAGTGTGAATTAAAGTACCTTTAATTGCATATTGTCGTTGACGGTTCTTTGCAGTAGTGTCCTAGAAAGCAATACTCAAGTCACCTCCCTGAGATAGAGTGACTCACAGTATGACTCACTGAATATTTTCTTTCATAAAAGGACTGCAAGACACTCAATTCCATGTTTCAAGTTTTCTAATAGGCTAAGATACGCACACTGCATAGTCACCACTTTGCAAGTTGATTTACTACCTTACTACCATACAAACCATTTAGCGTTCTCAAAAAAAAGAGCTTTAAAGGCTTTAATATCTTTCTCTAACGTCTGCTTTGGTACTAATATTTGATTAAATTAAAATGCAATTAAAGTCTAAAATGAATCATGTGCATATTCTCTACATTAGACACAGATCTATCTGCRTACCATAAAAGATCATTGACGTGGCAGGGTGCCATTCAATTCAGTTTCATTAAAGCATATGCCAGGGAGATTTGTSTCTTTCCAGCTCTCTCCACGATATAGATTATATCGGTCTTCTGTATCAAGTGCCTAAAGGGTTAAACAGATTTTTTTACCCGAGGAAGATAATGCATGAAAATAYATAATTAGTGGTAGTTAGTTCACAGAACCATCCCTTTGTGTGGTCTCCACCTCCACTCACACTGATTACAAGACATTTTTGCTCTCGAGTTTTGTTCCTGAATGTGAAAAGCATCCTTTAGTGCTCCGAGACCCATCATTAACCACCTTYCCCTACAGGTGTTCTCTGCTCATTCACAGGTATTTTGTTGAGAGGAAAGTCACTAAAGCATAGCAGAGTTCATTATGAACAGTTAATTTTAATTAATTTTCTCTAAGGAAAGTTGACTAAAAGATGTAACTAGTGCAATTACGGCATTTTTAGGGGAGAAGAACAGGATGTCATTTTTCTGTTGGAGGTATTTTTCAGAGAGGCTTCCCTGTTCAAAGTCACTCTCCTTTGATGATTCTGTTCAGCACAGAGCACAAAGCTTATCTGTGGTAAAAAGCAGCATTGCTGCCTGCCACAGACATTTTACAGACGCAATTTTAAAGTAGAAGAGAAAGGAGATGACTTGGCAACTTATAATCGAGAGAGACTATAAACAAGGAAAGGAAATAACAATTTGCTCATTCTGTAATCCTCCTGTGCTGTCTTTGAAAGGAATTTGTAAAGAAAATAAGAGTGTAATGATTACAAGTGAATATGAGATTTTAAAATTTACCTTTTCTCTTATCAAAGACGTTTCATGACAGGTCAAAGCTGCTATTGCTTGTTCTTTGCCTGTTTCTCAGAATAAGGGCTACTCAAACAGAAGGGTGAAGAGGGTCTTACTAGGGTCAGTGACTAAACCCTTCACATGACAAACACGGTCATCCTATTTTAGTCAACCAAAACCTGGATTTAGCTGAAGATTTATGAGTTTAGCTATTTATCTGACCTAAATCTCTTCACAGTTTCACAGCTGATTTGATATTCAGTATGTCATAGGAAACTATCTTGTTATAGGTAAATGAAATGTGCATTCGGAAATGTTCATTAATAGTATTATCATTAATTGCTTCTTACCTGAATCCCACTGCTGCAAAGACTCTTCAGACTGAATGACAGCTTGCAGCTGGCCTTTTTTAAAGTAGAATTTTAATAGCACTCACACATTACAAAACAATTATAAAAGGCCAAATCCTGCTGCTCTCTTATTAACTTTAATACCAAGATAACAGGCCACGGAATCGCTCTGTTTTAAATTTAGTGCAAAATTATATCCAAATATCTTAATGTTTAAGGGGAGGAACACACTGAAATTCATTTCAATTTGCCTTTTATGGGACACAGCTCTGAAGGTGCATAGGAGATGCTTGAATTCTCATTAATCAGCAGTAGAGTCACATACATAAAACCCCTCTCTCACGGAGCCTCTCACTTCTAGCCTTACCTACCCGCCACTGTAACCCATCCATGTTCAGCTGTCCTCCGCTGGCGACGTCCTGGCATGGCTTGGCAAGTGAGTTGCACCAATGGACTGCAGCCAAGGATGTGGCCCTGAGAATGCACAGGTGTGTCCGGGATGGTCATGCATCAGGTACTGCATGTTCAATAGCCTTTACACCTTCAGTTGCACCTGCAGTGCTGCTAAGCTGTCAGTCTGTAACATAAAACAGCCCAGTAATTGGAATAGCAGCTGGCTTGTGACCCATTAAGACTCCCTCATTCTGCCCCCTGCCCCCAAATTGTTTCCAAGTGTTTCAGCAAAACACTTTCTAAAAGGACAGGCAAAGGAAACCACAGGAGTCACGCTAAAACCCTGGAATAAAGAATTATTCATTTTTACCAATGCTGAATGAGTCCTCCAATTACAATGTCTATCGGACTCCCAGCCTCCCAGGCTGGATGCAAAAAGGTTAAGCAGTATTTTCCCATCCACAGAACTACATCCAGCCTGAATAAAAGCAAATGGAAGTCTTGATCCAGCTTGTAGGATTAAGTATCTCCTAGACAGATGAATTGACTCCTACAATATATTACTGTTTCTATTTTAACAATTTTTTTTCCTATTATTTAGTACTAATTACCAGTAATACTTTACTCATGAAAGAGATTCACACTGAGGTTGACTTTAGACGTAGAAAGCTTTGTCAATGTATTAATATTGGCTTAACTTCTCTAACTCAGTATAAAACAGGATGTCTATTGCAGCAAAGAAAACACAGTTAATCATGTAGCTGGTAAAGTCCCATACAACAGAGAACTATATTTAGAATAGCCATTTAAAAAAAAAATAAATATCCACTTGCAAAATTTTTAAGAGAAGATTGTTAAAAAATGGTAAGTGCCAGCAGCCAGTGAATTCTGCACATGTGTATTTCATATGCATGCATGTTAAGGAAAAGATAGTCTCTTTTTCTTGTAGGACTTCACCACCAGACTTCAGACTAGAAATTATCAGGGTTTTCTTAACTTCGCAGCTTCTACTGAGGAGAGAGTGCAGAGCGAGAATACCAAGCCACTCACAATTCTCTTCTTTTCCCCCCAAACCCAGCCCTGGATCTATAAAAGTCAAAGCGTTTACTGTGTATATAAATCACAGAAGTTGGTCAGCTTTTCCAATTGAGAAACACTACACTGAGGTGCAAGCAAAATACAACATAAAGCCTGCAACGTGCTAGGTAGTGCACAATATGCTCTTTTAGACTCAAAAGCCAAATCTAGATCTAGGGTACAAAATATAAACATGCCTCACACACGAGCACTATTCTTTCTAATGAAAAAAAAACAATAATAAAAAAAAAAACTTTTCCTCTAATGAAATTACTAGTAAAAATGAACATTAATGGCAGGCTTTATAACAAATTCTGCTGCCCTCCTGCTGTCCTCTGCACCTGCTGACTGTCTGGCATAGTCTGCCTCCTGCCTCGTCCAGCTGTTTCCAATGATACTTCGCTTGGCAGTGCTTTRTAACAGCAAGAGTTCTGGGACATTGCTTCTCCTTAAAGTATGCTCGGTGTGAAACTGCCCCTCTTTGTCCTTAGAATACATAAAGGAAACCGGATTCACCTGTTCTCCTCCTGTTGGCCCAAACATACAGCACATGAAAAGCACTTTGCAGTACCATGTCTTCCCGGATCAGTAGTAAACACAGTGGAGCCCATCACAAAAGAACCCGGCCTAAACAACTCTGCATCTCGTTATTCTTCTGATTTCCACCTCATTGTCACTGCTACGATGCATGTAATTGAAGAAAGAAAAACATAACTTGGTTTCTAAGGCTTTGTCAGTCCCTAGACACCACAAGAATTAATTGGCCAGGCAATTTTCACAACCCAAGAGAGCACGAAACCTCCAAACAATGGATTTATAGCAGACAGCACGCTAACAAAGAGGGCAAAGTGAACAGTGAGATACACGCGAGTGTATTTAAGTGTAGGATAAGGGCAGTCAGGACTCCATGCCCGAGTGAGAAATATGGTTCAGGTAAACAGTGAAATCAAATGCAGTCCCCGAAGGTCCATGTCATTTCCCTGCTGACTGTAGATGGCAGAGAGTATGTCCTTAATTTATCAGGGAGACGGTCTGCCTCTGTACAACCCTGCTTTTATTTCAACCAAGCCAGTGAGACACTGGGCTTCCTGCCACCTAGCAATAAGAAACATATATTACAGTGGCAAATAGTCACTTTAGCATAAAGAGTGTTTTCTACCTTCACTTTCCTAACCCATACTGCTTTGAAAGACTAATTCCTCCCATTTTCCTGCTAGTATTTGCATGGCCACAGCTGTCCTTACTGACATGCAGTGAATTACATAAAAATAAAGAACAACCCTATAAAAATATGAACTACACTATAACTGAACAAGACCCACACATTTCTGGTGACTCTTATCCATTCCCAAATAAAAGACACAAGCAGTTTTCAGTTCCCACATTCAGCTGACACAGCATAATCCCAAACCCATTTTAAGCAACAAGAACCCTTCCAGGAGCTTCAATGTGGTCCAGAGCACAGGTACGGGAGGTAACGTTATCACAGTTACAAAGTTTTTAACTCCAACAAAGAGTCATCTGAGGTTTCTACTAAACTTCCTTCTTGAAAAGATTCCTATTGGCAGTTGAGAAGCAAGCAGTTACAGGTTCTTGCAATATTTCTAATACATAAAGCTAAGCAAATGTCTTCACAGTAGATCCATGGGAGATGATATGTCATTATGTATACACATGCAGGCTCTATAAATTGCAAAAACTGTAGTAAACTAGGAAGTTATAGTATATCAACTCTTAGATCTTCACTAAGGACTCATTTACAGAACAGCCCAAATTACTCTGTATTACAATTGAATTATCAAATACTGCTTTGGTAGCAGTAGGTCTCCTGTAAGCTGCAAGTATTTTTGATCAGACTTTAGCCAATTTCATCATAATGTACAGCCAACATTAAAAATAACTGATTAATGACATGGAAATATCATTAAATATAAAAAAAACTGATTAATGACTACACATGGGAAAGTAGTCATCTGACAGTCTGCTTTGGGACACTTTCCCTAGTTTGGGGAAAGGAAAATCTCCTCGTTTTGTTTTAAAACACAGAACCAAGCCACAGATTCATAACCAGATTCATATTTTAAAAGCTCCAGTGTTGGGGAGTATCTGGCTTTGGGATTTTGGGTTGAGTCGGCATAAATCTAAAGTTTACCTACAAATCGCATACTAAGGCTTAGATTTCATAGTATCCTACAAATTACAGAACATTAGGATTTGTGGGTTTCATGTGCCTCTGATTTTGAAGCAGTAACATGGATATGACAGCACAAAACTGTTTATCTCATTTACAAGTAAGGAATTTCTTCACTTGAATTGCAATTAATGAATACAAAAATAAATAGATATTACAAATTTCATATTGATGAAGTTACCTTTCTTAACACTGGTTATCTACATGCTATAAGCATTGCAAAAAGAAAATGCTATGTTTAACATTTACTTCTAGGGGTTACTAAGCATACTTTTCCAGATAATTTAAGTATTGTGGGAAGAATGGTCAGTTTATTTGCAGGACTTTTCCCTCCCAGAAATGTGACCATAAAAAAAAAAACATTATCTTGGATGTATCCCTTTTATAAACACAACAGGATTGGGAAAGCATTCCAGGACATATATCTGTCACTGAAGCTGGTATCACCCTATAACTCTCTTTAGCTAAAACCCTTCTCTAATCAGAAAGGGTAATGGATTTGTTCTGATGGTACTAGAAGGTGATTGTCTAAGTGACAGATGTCGAAAACATCATCTTTACTAAACTTGTTCTTCACTGCTTAGATTAGATAAAACAGCCTAATTGAACCTTGAGCTCACTTACTGCCTTTTTAAGGAAGAAGGTATAATTTTAACATCTATTCTGCATTCTTGTAGAAGGAAGTTTAAGCTTTAGTATTCAGAAAGAAATGAAGTTTCATTTTCAATCTTATTTTTAGGGAGGAGAAAAAAGTGTTAATTTAATCTACTAGACTTGGCACTGGGTAGAAAAAAAAATAGATAGCTTGAAAAAAAGATGAGGCAGAAGCATGACCATCAGCTAGGTTCCCCAGGTGCCGAAGCTGCCTGCAGCACACAGCTCTCCGCAGCGTTGTGTGAGGGCACACGCTGAACTGAGGAAAGGACTTTCCATCTGCTTGACCCTGCCCACGACCACAGAACAGGAGAGGAGGCCAGGCAGGGCTTCCTTTCCCCTGTTTGCTCACAGCAGGCTGAAGGGCTGTGAAGGAAAGAAATCGGTCTATAAAGCTGGTTTCAAGGCAGGCGCAGGAGACAAAAGGAGCTCAGTTTAGTGCCTTTGTTCTTCGGTGCATTTCTGCACGGTGCCTCAGAAATTCCTATTGACATCCCAGTCACACAAGCAGGCACTTCAGGTACATATGGCACAAATGCGATGTTCCCTTTTTTATGAGTAACATTTACCCACAGGGCTTGGCTATCCTATAAAGTAGCATTTAACAGTACTCTCAAGGGCTCTTTTATCGGCAAGGAGAAAATATACTTGTAGCTTGCCTGTTTCTACATTCTGCATTAAGAAGAATGCTGTGCTCCAGTCAAACAAGAGGTAAATAGATATTTCTCCATCATCTCACCGTTAGCTATTACTGAATGATAAAATTCAGCAGCGTGACCACACTGAAGAGAAAAAGAAAAAAAGTTGTCTGAACCAACAATAGGTCTTGAATTGCTACAGTAGAATGGGAGTAAAGGATTTGAATTAAAATCTTCCACCCAGAATCTATAATCATCAGGCTTTGATGTAGAAGGAGAATAAACATTCCTGCAGATGGATTGGGGTAGGGAAGAAAAAAGAAAATATGAGAAGTCTGCACAAGAAAATAAATAGCCTCTACTCAGTCATCAACTTGATACTAGGTCTGGTAGACAAATAGTCTTATTTTATTTTTCAGTTACCAGACAAGCTCATTTGTGGAATAACATGAGCCTTGCTTTCCTGCAGTTTTTAGCATGATAGAAAACTAACTAGAGAAAACTGGCAGATGCAGTTTTTATCAATAAAGCTTTGCTTAGAGGAGTTGAAAATCTTTCCCTTTCATGCTTTCAAGCTCTCATTGTATACAATTGTTTTCCTCGGGGGATTATACCTGATCCCATGAAGCTTTCTCTGCCAAGACAGTCCAGGCTCATTGTGGAATAAGAGCAGACATTGATAGGCAGGGACCACAAGGGAGGCTGTGGCGGCTCTGGGCCCCTCTCTCCCAGCAGGGTTTTGCTGCTCAGCCTGTAAGGGTCACCTGAGCATGGCTTAAAGGATCTGGAAAGGAGAGGATATCTGAGGGCCAAATATGTGAAAAATGCAAGCCCTTTGCCATTTCTTTATGAACCTCTCCCATCAAATAAAATAGATTCAACACTGTTTGTTTCCAAATGTGCTGGAAACGAAAATAACTGCAGTTATTGAAGCTGCGGGAGGTACAATGGATATTTCAGCTGTAACAGGATGGGAATGCCCATTCAAAGGTTCCCTTCAAGCTCTTTATAGCAGCCAAATCCTCAAAAGAAAACATACTTTGTTAACTTTCATTTGAATACATCCTGCTCCAGCCAGACAGCCCACTTAAAGTGACACAGGGGTAGTAAATTGTTCTACTGATTGGTTAGCTGGAGTTTAACAGCTTGAGCTTATCGGGAAGGTGATAGGAACAAAAGTGCTGGTCATATCATCATTCAGACAAGACCCTCTTCCACTCTCCCTGAACCTCTGAGGTGAAGGCCTTTAATTCCTCTTTGCGGTAAAAGATGTGTCACAAAAACACTGGGAGACAGACAAAGGCCACCCAGAAGGGATCTTATTTGCTCAGCCTTACATATTAGCATCCCACAAGAAGCATTCTTAATGCAAAGTATTTCCATAGATGTATCTGTGTGTGTGTTTTTACCAGAATGTATTTGCCTCAAAAAGTCCCCTACGACACAGAAACAACAGGAGAGACACTTCAAGATAATTCTGATGTCCATCAACTGACATATGATGAAAAACTCAGATTTCCTGTTATTTTATTCTGAAAGATTGCCCCCAAGGCATTAAAATGCCCATGAAATTTTTGAGGGCCAGATTTTCACAAGCACTCAGCACACTATTGAATGGAGATTCAAAAGAGATTCAGTTTCTGTTTTCTGGCCAGTCCATTTATGCTGCTGACTTCTGCTTCTGAAAGCCCTCCAAGTTTATGCCCAGGTCTTTTGCATTTCCCAGTATCTACAAGCTGATCAGAAACAGTTGTAGGTTTTGGTTATTTCTGTTTGATATTATAGTCAACCTCTGAATAACTGCCTTTAAAGAAATAAGCAGCAAATAACATACTTCCAACCTAGCCAAGAGCATGTTGTTAATGTCAAACTTTCCATGATATACAAGACTGGAAATGGAGGACAACACCTCAAAGGCGACTGTGATTGCTACATGAAGGAGCAACACAACTCAATTACCCAATTAAACTGCCTGCCAAGAGACTGTGGAAATTGCTGTTCAAACATACATAAAATTACACTGGAAATGGAAAATATAGAGGTTTATTAATACAGGATGGCCTTATAAGAAAATCAGTTCCATAGATATCAGTTGGTTAGGCAGGTCCAAAACCAAAGGGACAAAGGAGATGACAGGCTATGAAAGAACTGGAGACACAGATATTCAGCACATCTCAATGTTGCTGTTCATTTAAGGTCTTGAAACAAAACACATGATGAAAATCCACCAGTCATGTGGAATCTCTCAGTAACATTGAGTATGCTGAAGTCAAACACAGGAGTATCCTGGATCCTCTTAGGATGTTGTAGTAGCAAAGTAAGTTCTTTGCGTGATTTGAGGCTCAGATAGAGAACTCATGCTCCAGATGTTAAAATTAGGTGCTACTTTCCCCCTTTAACCTTACTTCCTATGTTTCTCTGGTACAATATTAAAATCAGAACTACAGCCTCCAGTGAAATCTGATGGTAACAATTCTCAGAGTCATAGAATATGCAACCTTCATACATGATGAGCATGTCACTGAAAATTAAACTTCACCACAAATCCTGGCTATACTAGTAGAAAAAAAAAAACTTAACTCAATTGGTGGTAGCAGATCCTCAGGTCCTGTGCACAGGACCAAATTCTCTGTAGACACAGAACTAGAACACGCACAGGGGCAAGATCCCAGAAGGTACAAACAAGAGAGACGGTGAGTTACAACAGCTGTACAGTTTGTTTTACAAACAGGAACATCATATTTATTTAGAAACAAGGAAGAACTGTTTCAGAACAGTCCAGAGGTTGCAAAGACTCCATCCTTGGAGATGTTCAAACCCTGACTTGGACTCGGTCCTGCACAACTAGTTCTAGTTACTCCTGCTCTGAGCATGGGTTGGAGTAGATGATCTCCAGAAATCCTTTTCAACCTCAACTGTTCTGTGAAAATGTTTCCACAACATATGCAAATAAAGTCAACTGTAAAGGGTCAAGGCCCTGTCTAAATTTACAAAGTATTTATTTACTCGGGGTTTCCCCCTTAATGCTATCATTAGCTTCTTATCAAAATAAATACAAGTTAGGAAGGAAAACTCATGACTGATAATTAACAGTAATGACTATTGTTATAAAATTATATTGCAGACAATTCTGTGGTTAAGTAGAAAATAAAAGCTTTTCTTTCCCATGCACTTCCCGTGTCTGCCCATAAAATATATTTGTTTACATTCACATACAGATCTTTATCTACTTTAAAGGTATTGATTTCCACTCTATAAATCATTTGCTTATAACTGTTGGCAAAATCTAGAAACAAGTCTTCCCTGCCTTCCACTTTTACTCATTTTGACCAATCTTCTCATAACTCACCCCTGTGCTTTTTATACCTCTTCTTTGTTTCCAGCTTCTCTCTTTCACCTTTTTGTTCTTTCCAGTGTGCAATTCCCAGCCAGGTRGCTCTTGTGATAGCCATAACACATCTGAAAAGAAAGCAGCAGCCACAGGCCAATAGTTGAGCTCAAAGACAGTCAATCTGTATAGAATTTGGCAGAAACTAATGTAATACCTTTTTCTCTCTCTTTTTTTTTTTCTCTCCCTCCTCTCCTCTGAGGTGGGAGGAAGGCTGAAAAGAGTAAGGATAAACCAAAATTTAGGGGGGGAGGGAAAAAGTCAGAGTCTTTAAGATTTTATTTATTGAGATCTAAAAAGGCAAAGCTGCCTATTTTGCTATTCCAATTTCTGCCTTAGCCAATGCCATGGTGAGCATCAAACCATGGTACCTCAGGTAAAGAAAAGAGATACAAACAAATCATTACAGTAACAAACTGGTTTGGGCCTGTAACCAACACTTTTCTAAGAGAAGGACAACTCATCCCAAAACTCTACAGTAACATTTAGCATAAAATTCTTAGGAGGAGTAGGAGCATAAAACTCTGCTAGACCCTTACCATTGTAGTAGATGCAATGTTTGTAATAAATCCTCCAATAATTTGGATTCTTCATTGCAGATGTCCCCAAGCTATTCAACACATTTAAACACTCTTCTTCTACTGTCTTTTTTTCCTTCTGAAATGCTGATATGAATCGTATGGACAAAGTAAACAGAGTACTCTGTTAGTTTCCCTTTTTATAAATGAGCCATAAAATTGTCCATTAATCAGCCTTGCTTCCCTAGGGGCCAGGCTGCATTGTTGAGGTTTCCTTTTCCATTTCTGATCCCTGTTTTGTTGAGGAGATTACAAAAAAAAGTCACAATGCAGCAACTCAAAGAGAATAGGCTTTTGAAAACCACTCTGCTCCCCACAGCCCTTTGACAGAGCTGGAGTTTTGCTCTGAGTGCTAGAGAACTCAGAATTTAAACACTATTTTCATTCTTTAGCTTTTAGTAAAATAGCTGTGCTATCATGGCTCCTCCACCTCCCATCCAGAGGACATGGTGTTCCCATCCATTTAAATTACTACAAGTTCCTTAGAACAATAAGCAGGCCCTTTGGGGTCTCCTGGGGTAAGCATCTACAATCAGAGAAATAATGAAACGGAGAGAGAATTTACTGGGAAGGTGGCATTTCAGAGCTCTGCCTCTTGTTAATTCCCGAGCAAGGTGTCAGTTCTGACAGTGCTTGAATTTATCTGCAGGGCATATCCTTTTAAAGCACATCAGGAGGAAATACACATCTACTGTAGCTGTCACTCTGCAGCACGTGCTGTCTGTGTGTACAGGGCCAGCCGGTACCTCTGGAGCACATCAGGTTTCTCAAGACCCAGCTCTTTCTCCAGGACACCCAGCTGTGCACCTGCGAGTGGAAACATGAGGAAAGCCACAGCACCACACAAGGCAAGACAGCAGGTAGCCAACCCATCCCAGGTGCCATAAGGTTTCTAATTGCTTTTGATTTATTTGCTATAAGTAATATGCTCATGGGGAAAACAAATACCCCACAGTACACAGAAGCATTAGAAGTTGGCACAAAATAGTGTTCCTCTACAAAGCCCCCAGACTTATGCATGTTTAGATGCTTGTAGATCTGGCCTCAAGCTGCCATGAATTTAACTATCACCGGAGAGCCAATGTCTTTGTCTTCTACATGCTATTTAATGCAAACTTCTCAGCTCTTCCATTCCCTAATTAAAACACAGACTTTTATGTTGCTTCTTTTGCCTTCCTAGTCTTCCACTATCTATCAGGTGTCTAGAGGGAGACGACATAAGCTCCTTGCAGGGATATATTTTTAGCAGAGCAGCTTATTTAGCATGCAAACCAAATACATAATCAGAGTGGTTTTTTTTAAATTAAAAAAAAAAAAAAAAAGGAAAGTCATCTCAAGGTTGAGCTAAAAGCCAAACAACTTTATCTCACCAAAGTCTCAGTTAAGTACTGTGGTATAGAGCTGTATGCGTAAGACAAAACTGCTTTCTCCAGTGAGGCTCTGTTGATCTATGATCTAATCTAGGCTCTTTAAATAAGCTTTTGAGTGTGTAACTAAGAATCCCTTTATCTGTTATTAATGTCTCATTTTGTTATCACTGCAAGCAACTTAAACATAGTAGTCATATTTGATAAATTCCTCTACAGATTCTTTGCCCTCCCAGGATAATATGTGACGATTGTAAAGGAATTTTTTTTCCTCCCTCTCTCTATTCCTTGTGAGCTCAGCAGTACTCTTACCACCACCACCACGCACATAAAATACTGAAACGTCTGGACATGCATTCAGTGTGACTCACTCACACCTAGTGAACAAGTTCTCTCATTCAGAGACTACAGAAGTGTGACTTTCTGGAAGCACTGATTTTATTAGTACAAACATGCTGAACTTTGCTAACATACTTTTTGATTTTATTGGCGCACCTTACTTTATAAGTCTTAAAGGCTCTGGCAGTTTTTCCACATTTAATTGAACCGAGCTAATATTCAGTTAAAAAAAGAAATAAAACAATACCTGACAACATCATAAAAGGAATTTCTCCTAATATCTCTCATATTAGTCATGGCTGACCTCAGAAAGTACCTGCTACATAACCTGTTTTTTTCTCATGGGTGTTCATTTGTTCTTATCCAAAGCCAAATCTTACCACAGCTCTGATTCCACTTCAGCCCAAGCTGTGGGAAATGTCTTGAATTTTCACATATTGTGAGGGAAGCCCTGTGTCCTGTCTGAAACCTAGAGCAATGCTCATTATGCATATTTGCATTGACTTCTGTGTCACCCAGGAAAACTCCTCTTAAAAGAGAGCAAATAAAGGCTGCTAAAAAACAATTAGCTGCCTTGGGAACAGTACCTGCCAAGTCAGCTCTTAATTCATGCATCCAGTTGCCACAGAATTTGATCTACTCAAAGCACATTGCATCCGACTTCTCCTCTTGCATCTGAGAGCTGCTTAGTTATTTTCTCTGTACAAAAGTCTTGTAATAGTCACATCTCCCCTTTCTAAATCTTCCAGATCTAGGAAAGAAACACATTCCTTTTTCTTATCACTGCAGTGATATTTAGCTCTGTAGTGAGGAAAATAAATGAAAAGGCACGAGTTAGGACTATAGCTCTATTCTCGCCTAAACAAAAACACTTGATACAAAATTTTATTCTCTCCTTCAAATGCTTTATATGCAGTAGACTTTATCTTACAATTGTTCAGCAGTTATCAAGTCAATGAGATTTTTTTTGTGCTAGCTCGGAATGCTAAAGCAAGTTTTGACATCTCTGTTAACAAGGAAGTGCCTCTGGACAATTTCAGCCCAAGCTCCCATTCTTCCCTCCAGCAATTTAGTGCTAAACTGGTTGGGCTGTAGGATCCAGAAGCTCGTGCCAGAACAGTGACCAAAACCAGCTCTAAAGCCAGTTAAACATAAATAACAGCTGTAGAACATGCAGAATGAAACAAAATCCAGTCCTATGACTTAATATTTGCAGATGAAAACTACCCCGATTTTAATTGGAGTTATTTTAAGGAAATCCATTAGGAAATTGTCTATGAGCTGTAATTCAGCATTATCCACCTTTCCTTTACTAATACTGAAGAAGAGAACAGACCCACCACCTTCCATCCTGTTCACATTCACGTACACGCATGCACACATAACTGTGTCCCCATACACTCCAGCACAACAGAGAAAACATGGCTTCAAAGAGAACCCACGTGCATCATCAACAAGGTAGTCAGGGGACAGCTTTAAAACCAAAACTAACAGACCTTTTATTCCCATCTCTTCATGGCTATTATTCTTTTTATAGTGTACAACATTTTAAAGAGATCTTCTCGGCCCTTACTTTGTAATGCTGAGTGTTCTTAATTGCAGCATAAATGTTCCTATCACAGTGTAATGTCCCACCAACATGCAATATATTGAAAGCCAGTAAAGAATCTACTAAAACAATAAATTCCTTTAATGCAAGTTACTACATCTGCTGTTTTAAAACTAAATTCCACCCTCACATGTAATCTGTGAGTAGCAGAGAATATAATGTGAATCACAGCATGCGCTCCTGAAGCAAGCCTCAGGAAAAGGCTCAAGGATATAGCTGATTTCTCATGGTAGTCACCATGAAGGAGCGAATTCCTTACCACTGTTTTCCCTCCTCCTCCTAAACCTATTTTCTAATTGTAAAAAAGGCTCCTTCACTGTCCTTTTGCTTCCGGTAACAACTGAATTTTTTTTATGCCTTGCTCTGTTAACCAAGTGTACAACCATTGCAACGCAGAGGGTCTTGCTAAAAAGTATGCCTGAAGCCTTCATGTCATTTGCATCTCATTTTAAATACATTTACATGGCATTTTAATCAAGGAAAATGCAAATGCAGAGCTCTAACTTTTTTTTTTTTTTTTTTTTTTTTTTTGAAAGATAGTTCTTATAAGGCACTCAGCAAAACACACAGACACAATGTGACCTCAGGGCTGAAGAGCAAAAAGTGAAACCAGTGGGAAGATTAATAGCATATCTTAGAAATCCAGCTGATTAATGACTAGCTGCACATGCAGTTATTATTGTTTAAGGCTATTTAAGAGCTTGTAGTATTTTGATTTAATCAGTTTTATGACAGAAAGAGTCTATAAGTACCCACACAGCATCACACACACAACAGATTTCCCAGTTCTGGATAGATGCTATCTGGCCGGTTCTTCCTGGGATAGAGTCACTCCAAAATGCCTGGATACTTTCAATGTACTTGACAGATCTCAGATGAGTTCTATCCTTAGATTTTAAAGTTTTGCTGAAAATAAAGTTTTGCTGGTGCCATAATCTGGTCAACTTCAGTCTCTTGTTTCCTTGAAATACGCTGGTAAAACAGAAGAATCATAATAAGGAAGTAACAATAGCAGAGGAACTTTGCAGAAAAAGCTTCATCCATATCAAAACCATACCTGTCCTCTTGGAAGGAAATAAATATGTAGGTCAAGCAACTAGCACATGTACCTGGCATGGTAGGAACAAAGATGATGGTTTTAATATGCAAGCTCCATAAATAACTGCCTCAATCTAGCAAGCAACACTGAGTTTTATTGAATATTTATAATATTTTTGTGATTTCTAGGTGAAAAGTATCTTTGAAGTATTACTATTCCAAAAAAATATCAAAGATCACAGTCTTACCAATGCATACAGGAAACATAAAAGAAATCCCCAAAACAGGAAAAGATCATTGTGCTAGTTCTGAGACAGACTAAAGATATCGCTCATTATTCCATAGATGGTATCTACTCTTTTTCTAGATTTTATGAAAGAGCAGGATCACAGCTTTACATCTTAACATCCAAATCCCTTTCAGGGTGCCAAAGTAAACAGTAAAGACTACATAAGTTTAAGTGCTTTAAAGCCAGCAATAACACAAGGTAAAATCCATATGGTAAGATCTGTTAATGCCTACACTGTCCTACCGAGGAGGGTTCATGATCTTTCTTCTGCTGCTGTCACTCTGATAGACACATCAGTAGCCAAGAGAGTCTGTGGTCTGAACCTTTGTCTCCGTACACACTTCAGTGCCCATTCATGGTTTTAGCTTTCTGGAGGACTTTTTTTGATTGTTTGGTGGGGGTAGAGAATTCACACACACAAAAAAATAAAGTCATACTCTGGATGGTTTTGCAGAAAATAAACCAAAACAATTAGTTAGGAAAAAAAAAAAAAAAAAAAGATAGATAAGGCACTCCCTGTATGCGAGAATATGGGATATGAGAGTCAACTCCATTTTCAAATGAATTTTCCAAAACCAACTAAGGCCCAATGCACAACTTTGTAGCAGCTTTATAGTAGCTGCTTTAGTAATGGCTGCTTGTATTGAGCATCACTGCCATGCTAGACATCCAAATTGTCTGTCCATATATTAAAAAAATTCATGGACTGACCAAGTATGTACAAAATTTATCACCTTTGCCTTCAAGATAAGTTCAAAAGCATGAGGGTTTCCATGAACTTCATGGAAGGTACAGAAACTTCTGGATAAGATTTTGGTATCAATCATCCTTTTTAATCACCTGAATGAGAGGCTAAATTTTCAGGACTCAGCAAAATCAAAAAAGGAAAAAAAATCTGAAAAAATACTAGCTTTATTCTGCATTTTTCTGAAATCAATCATTTTCCCAAAAAATCATTCATTTTTAAGTTATTTTTATGGCTACCACTATGGCCAGCATTATTATGATTATGTGTACATTCCTCATCCTTTTACCTTGTTCTGATCTGACCGTTATCTTAGGAAAATGCTATATAAATTATTTCCATCCACTTTAGCAATACAGTCCAGTTCATTTGGGGATCACCAAACCTCACCATGGGATATGTCACAGCTTAGATTACACTCAAGTCAACTGCTTTGTAGTAGAAAGTAGTAAAATATGTCAACTAGAAAGCCTAAATTCCTTTCAGCTATCTTGCTATCTATACACTCATTTGAAACATTATTTTTGTACAGAAGTCTGATCATCTTACCATATTTCTCTTAATTTATTAAAGGATAATATATTTTAAGCTAGTCATGAGTTCAGTACTAATGTTCTATGTTAAGAAGCTTATGCTGACAAATATCGTAAATATATGACTCCAAATGTATATAAACTCTATTAAAAAAGCAAACACATCTAAAGTGCATTATTAATTATTCTTGGCCTTCCTAGTTTCTTCCTAGATAAGTCGAGATAGAGAAAACATATCACCAATAATATTCTAAAGCTATCATTTAATGTTCCATCAAACACCACCACACATTTCAGTTTTCCAGCATTTCAACAGTTATACAGTTATTTATGTTTCCCGCTACTAGCTTTATAGGGTGATTATCAGAAAGGGAATAGTGTTTTTTGGCTTCTATCTTTTCAAAACAAAAACAGAACAAAATTGGTACAGAGGCAAACATTCTCTCTGCCTTTGCTTAGTTTTCGTTATTTTTCTTTCAGAGTCTTTTCTATGGACTCCCACTAAAAACATGTCTCTAAGGAGCATCTATTAAGCTAAAACAGACAAATTCCTGGTGGCCTTTTGCTTCCTGTTTTTACTAATTTTAATTCTTCTATTATGTCAACCATCAAAATATTCTTTCCATATTTATGCACTGGTGTCAGGTCTAATAAAGCCACAGAATACTGAAGTAGGATGTGATTATTTCTTGCTTAATAGCTCTCCAGTATAAAGTGGTTAAGTATATACTGATTCAAAAATAATAGCACTGTAGCACATTTAGCAAATTTTAATTGTAAATAAAATGGCAAGCCCTCTCTTCACCTGAGAAACTAACAAAATCTATTAAATAAAGCCCTTTAACAGCAAGAAATAATTATTCCAATTTAAGAAAACACACCAACGTTGCATTTCAACATCAACAGTCATTAACATGTAAACAAAGTTATAATCTAAAAAGGGAAAAATCAGATTGTTTGAAAGAAATGGTGTAGTACAAGAAACACAAACTCATAAGCATCCAAAAAGGATGATTTGTGCTTAGCATTGATAAAGAATTAAAACAATCATATTATAAATGTTCATTATAAAAAAGATGCTTCCTACGGACTTGAAGGTATTTCCAGCTTACAAATGTGAAAGTGATTTTTTTCTTCCTTGTACTGAAGGATGAAAGACCAAAGCATCTGGTGTCCTACACAATTGGTCTGTTCATAATGCTGAAAAGTTGGGCACTTAGAGGTGAAAGTAGGCAAGAGGCTTTTCTCTCATTACTTATTTCTGCAGGCCTGTAAAACCAAAGGGATTAAAACTTTAGCTCCATTGATTACAAGTCTGGGGAAAATCCTGGAACGGTGCATTTAGCATCCCTCTTCTTTATAAAAAGGGAAAGTCACAATGACTTATTCTGTCCACAGAAATAAGAGAATCTTCCAGGAAGAACTTCAATATGTGAAGCTCAAAATCTTAATATAACAAGTTTTGGATTTCTATTCCCATTGTAAGTAAACGGCAGAGGTGTTAATTGCAGACTACAGTT